TTCCTGCTGTGCTACTGAGTGACATCGCCTACACACAGGAGCTCCCCTCCCCCAAGTCCCCTTGCCCTCCTCTCCTTCTAAGCAGGGACCTGCTACTGTGTAGCCTCTGGACGGACCCCTGCTGATGTACCTCCCCGAAAGCATCATCCAGTAAAGTTTGTGTGTGCTGCTGCCACCTGGTGGTCAGATCTTTTTCCTCCATCAGTCTCCAAATACCTCAAGCCTCCTAGACTCCGAGGCCTTTCCCTTTCTCTAGGTTTCTTTTAAAACTTCCCCGGTCCGAGTCCTCTCTCTGCTTAAATTTTCTGACCGATGAAATACATTAATCCCTACTGAGAGGTCAGTGGCCAATTTATTTATTCACCAAATATTTATGGAGCACCCAGTATCTTCCAAGCTGGGTACTTGGGATACACCATGGAACAAAACCGATGAAAGCTCTGCGTGTGAGGAGCTGACGTTCTAGCGACATGAGGGCGGCTTAAAGCTCTTCCTCTCTTAAAGAAAATGTTCTTAAAGAACATTTCAAGCCAAAGTGAGGAGATGGTAAGAGGGGAGTTTTCGGTACCGTAGGGGAGCTACTGGGAGGGATAGCAAGGATGTTTGGGTTTGTAATTACAAAAGTCGGTTTAATAAAAATGCCAAAAAAAAACCCCCAAAAACCAAAAACAAAACCCAAACCCCATGAGGGCTTACCTGGTGGCGCAGTGGTTGAGAGTCTGCCTGCCAAGGCAGGGGACACGGGTTCGTGCCCCGGTCCGGGAAGATCCCACATGCCACGGAGCGGCTGGGCCCGTGAGCCATGGCCGCTGAGCCTGCGCGTCCAGAGCCTGTGCTCCGCAACGGGAGAGGCCACAACAGTGAGAGGCCCATGTACCGGAAAGAAAAAAAAAGCCAGAGCTTATACATGGTATGAGTGCTTCCCTTTAAAGCAGAGCTGCTCAGACTTTAAGATGCATCCAATCACCTGGAGATCCTGTTGAGAGGAAGACCCTAAGTCAGTAAGTCTGGTGTGAGGCCTGGGGTTCTGCATTTTAACTCCCAGATGAGGCTGCTGCTGTGCCATGGACCACCTTTTGAGCAACAGGGCTTTAAAACAGATTCCTTTGAGCACTGGTTCCTGCAGGACTAATACTAGTAATCAGAACATTCCTACCGACCACAGAAAGTTGTTGCAAAGATTAAATAACTCGGCCCTTTGCATCGGCTGATTTCTGCATCAGAGGTAGGAAAACTGAGACTCCAAGACTTTAACTAACTCATCCATGAGCACAGTTGCAAACAGGAGAGCCAGCAAGTGGCTCCAGAGTTCCAGGGCTCACGTGCGTGCATGGCTATGTGACTGCCTCACCTGTTGCTAACCTACAGTTGGCTGCTTAACCAAATCGCATGGTGTCTGAGCCCTGGGCTTCACCTCCTGTTTCATGAGGGGAGGATGTCTACGGAGCCTCACAAATGTTAGCTGCTATTGTCACCATGAAGCCTGGAAGGGTTTTCTGCCTTGAACGTCGTCCTCCTTTTACCAAGATTGAAAATATATCAGCCACATTCACACTCTTATCACACACAGCGTTTCACTCATATCGTCTCACTTCATCGTGTATTGTCCCCGTGGAGCAAGTGGCTCCTTCCGTTTTACACACGAGGAAGAGAAAGCTGAGCGGTGGGGTGACCTCACTGTCGTCTTAGGATCTGGGATCTAGGCGAGATCTTAAAGATTTCCTCCAGTCGGTTGCCCTTTTTTTTTTTGGCCGTGCCACTTGGCTTATGGGATTTTAGTCCCCTGACCAGGGATCGAACCTGGGCCCTCGGCAGTGAGAGCACGGAGTCCTAACCACTGGACTGCCAGGGAATTCCCAGTCAGTTGCCTTTTAACCTGCTCAGTTTTGTTTGTTTGTAGCAATGACATCTCTTCAAATAAAGCCCTGCAGGGAAGTCTAGTTTGGGAAGCAGAGGGCTGGGTGGGAGCTGAGTTCTCCCACCCAGGGATGGAGCCTGGCCTCTCCACTTTGTGGGCTTTGTTTCTAGGGACCTCAGAGAGGCATCCAGGGAGCTGTTTGGAAAACCCCAATCTAAGTCAACACTCTTCCTGGGAGAAGGAGGGACCTGGCTTAGGAAAGGGAGGTGACTTGGCCAAAATCACACAGCAGGCTGTGGGCCCAGCGGGGCCTGACTCTAGGACTCCCAGGACCTAGCCCAGAAGTCGGCAGAATCCCAGGAAGGGACAGTGCCCCTTGCTGGCCTGACTCTCTTTAGCCAAGGGGTGTTTGATAAACGGTCACTCTTACAGTCCTGCATTCCCATCTCATGGGACCACGTTCAACATTCCACCTGTTAATTTCACCATTTCCCAGGTGCCCCCTTCCATCACATCCCAGGATGGGGGGAGGGGGCAAGGCTTTTTATTTTTAGACATTTCAAAACGGTGAATATAACATACATACAGAAAATCGCCTAACCACGCCCATGCCAAGAAATAGAATGCTGCCTGGCCCCTCCGGCCACCGCCCAGCTTTCAGGCAGGGCACATCCTTGCTGCTCTCTGTGTCTCTGCATCCCTCCCCACGACTGTTCCATCTGCCTGTTTTAAACTGTATGTAACTGGAATCGTGCTCTATGCATGCTTTTGGGATTCTTGAAGGCCACACGATGTTTATAAGATTCATCCGTCTTGTGGCTGCAGCCAACTGTGGTTTATCCATTCTCTTTGCTGTCGAGCGTTACCTTGAATGTATGAACGTACACGGTTTACGTGTTCATTCTTCTGGGCTGGGGGTTTGGGTTGTTTCCAGTTGGAGGCTATTGTGCACGATGGTGCTGCACACCTTCCTGGCAGAGAGATTTGCTCTCCTGTTATTCGAGCAGAGCGAGGCCCAAGGAGGAAAGGACTCAGAGGAGAGACACCCAGGCCCGGCCCCAGGGTTTGAAAGGTCTGTCGCTCGACACTCCACCCCGCCCCCGTTTTCCAGTTCTCTTTGCCCCAAGCCCGGCAAGGCCACGGACACAGCCAGCAAAGTAGATGAGTTTTCAAGTTTTCAAGGTTTTATTGTAAAACAAAGCTCAGATCACAGGGAGTAGGAAACTTTCCACTCAACACATACAACACACGTTCACTGAGGGCACCTACTGAGGGCCAGGCCACGTGCTTGGCCCTGCAGACCTAAGACATGGGGGGGTGGTCAAGGTCCCTGCTCTCAGGGGCTCACAGGATGGTGGGGAGACAGACAGAGGCACAACATCTTCCAAACAAGTCTCAGGGTATTGGAAGTGCTAAAATGTCAAGGAGCG